CATTTAGATTGAGAATATACCTCCCACTGAACTAATGATCTCTACTCTACTCTCCTCACCTATTTCAGACTGTAGAAGTCTTTTCATTAGACCCTCAATCCTTTCTACTATCCTAGTTGGAATCTTAAATAGAGATAAATAGTGAAGTGGCATACTAGACAAACAAGCATTACTCAAGATTACCCTTCTCTTGATGGAGAACAACCCACCATTCTAACTAGCCACCTTATTCTCTACCCCTTCCCAGAAAAACCTACTCCAAGTTGCCACCTAGTGAAACTCCCAGATACTTAATAGGCCATGATAACTTCTTATAACGTATTGTCTCCACTAGATGGTCAATTGAATAATCTCTCACATTAATCCCAATAAGTCCAGTTTTTCTTAAATTGATTCTCAATCTATAAATGTGTTCAAACACATGAAGGATGACAAGAGCATTAGATATGGAAGTATTGTCATTATCCAAGAAAAAATATTATGTCATCCACAAATCGTAGGTGAGGTACCTCCACATTTTGTCTACCCATTTTTAAGTCCTTTAGTAATCTCCTCTCCATGGCCCTTGATAACATTCGGTTCAATATGTTTACTACAAAGGTAAAGAAGAAAAGCGAGAGTAGATCACCCTGTCTAAGTCTTTTAAAGCTCTAAACCAACCTCGGGGTTTCCCATTGACTATCACTATAAGGGATCATGAGGACAAACATCCATTAAATTTCCTCCACTTATAAGTGAATTCCTTTTGATCCATTACCTAGTCTAAAAAACTCCAATTGACCCAATCATAAGTTTTCTCAAAGTCTAATTTTAAAACTAAACCTTTTGATGTGAATACAGGCAACACTTGAAAGGAAATTCAGTCTCAGAACCAAACGTGAAAACTAAAGAAACCTAAAACGAACTCAGTGAGCTGGGAACACAAATTCAAGTCCCTCCTAGACCAATCATAAGGAATCGAACCAAGAAATTCCAGATTGCATTCATTATGATGGCCCAAGAATGGGAAATCCGAGAGTAGGACCAAAGAAGGCCATCCAGCCTTAGAGAAGAGAAGGGAGCACATGCCATGCACGTGAACATGCTCACGCACACAAGCGGGCGGTCACATGTGCGAGAAAGAGGTCTCGCACCCATAGGGCTTTCCCCCGCATGAGAAACGCATGTAGGGCATGCAGACAAGCTTTCCTGCACCCTGGGCAGCGCACATGTGCGAAACAGCCCACCTCACACACGCACGGAGGTCGCTCGCGCGGAAGAGTCGCACACGTGGACATCACAATAGGTAGCGAAGGCGCACACGTGCCACCCGCAGGCCATACGCATGCCTGCAGACTAGTGCGCATGCGTGCATGTCTCCCGCACATGAGACTGCTTGGCCGAGAATATGACTCTTTTTTGCATATTTAACTAATTTTATTTATTATTATTTTAATATAAATCTATCTTTTAATATTATTTAATTAATATTTTTTAGGATAAGGATTGGGATCGAATTTTATTTTATTATTTTTCAAGTATTTGTATTCCAAATAAACTATTTAGTTGAAAGCCTATAAAAGGCCTCACTATAGACTGTAAATCACACATCTCAAAATTCAATAAATCAAAACTTTTACTTTAAATTATCTATGCTAATTTTTAAATTCTTCATGTATCTTCAAAGTAGGAGCTTCAGACTGCTTCGTTGAGTGGAGAATCGGGATCAACTTATCAGGTAAGCCGTGACATCTTTCTCTATTTATTGCTATTTTTTCCAGTTACCTGAATAAGCTTTCAATATGTTGATTTCAATATGAAGGGCTTAATTTAGGTAATTAAGTTTTGAATTGCTGAATATATGAAGTTCATGATCGAGGTGTTTTTGATCCGTGGAGTAATTGTTCTCCATCTCGTGTTACCTTTTCACCTTCAACACTCATGTATTCTCCGCCACCTCATTGACCACTAAAGATGCATCAAGGATTTGTCTACCTCCCAACAAAACACTCTAGTTTAGTGAGATAATATCTTCTAAGGTTCACTACATCGAATGAGAGATGTACTTTCATGATAATCTTATAGACATTAATCATTAAACTAATTAGATGGTAGTCTGAAACCTTTATGCACTTATCCTCTTCTAGAACTAGGGTGAGGAGGGTAGAGTTCATGCTTTTACAAATAGAACCATTCAAATAGAACTCCTCAAACACTTTGGTCAAGTCTGTCTTAACAATGTCCCAAGACGCATTAAGAACTCAATTATAAACTCATTTTGATCTAAGAGCTTTATCAGTCCTAGGTCCCAAATAGCTCTTCTAATTTTCTCCAATTCAAAGGGTCTCTCGAGCCACTCCCTCTTTTCTCTCCTAATGGGGGCCCAATCAATGGCTTCAAGAAACTGTCTCAAAGTTTTTTCTTGTGTGTACAAATTATACTAATGATAAGTAATCTCCCTAATTACATGTTTTTCTCTTCTTTCCATCCCCTCATGCTCAAGCTCAATTTCTTGTATTGCATGTTCCTTCTTTCACTCATGACCTTGTGGAACATCCAAGTGTTAGCGTCTTCCACCTTCACCCACTTAATCTTCGTTTTTTGTCTCCAAATCTCCTTTCTAGAAATAACACCTCTTCTAGTTCAAGCTTCAATCTTATCATGCATTCCTTATGTCCATAAGAGATGATCGTCCATGCCCCCTCTTTTTCTAAAACTCACCAATTTCCTCAAGGATCCCTATCTTACAAAGTTCGGCACTATCAAAACATCTTTGTTCCAAACTTTTAATTTGTCCTTCAAGTGCTTCAGCTTCATCATAAATCTATACCTCTCCCACCTTGTATCTCTTCTTATCTCCTGAACTTTGGAAGCTCAGTCCACATGTTCTTAAACCTAAAAAGTATTGGACCTCACTTAATATGTTGGGATTCAGGTAAAATGGGAAAGTGATTCAATGCAAGTTGAGGAAGAACTTCCTGAATCAGATTTAGGATATCCTCTCAATGAGTAGAGATCAAAAATCAGTCTAGTCGTGACGAGACCAATCTTTGCCTATCAACTGAGTAAGTAAACTGAGCATTATCTAGGGGCAGGTCTCTTACCTCACAAGCATCTATAAAATCATTGAATTTTTGCATTGATAGCGTCATTCTATTCCCCCTCCCAATTTTTCACTGTTGAGTTCATGTGTTGACTGGGGTTTAACCAGTATCGTTTATAGAGTCAACAGTGGCAAAAAAGGGAGCCATCGACACAGCAACTATGATGGACTTTCATTGGTGTTTAATGGTGGAGTTGCTAGCTTTCTTAAGTTGCCAATGGGTTGTCTCTGTATCGCATTCTCAGCAGCCCTGTTGAGCCTTCCCTTCCTGGATTGCCAAACCCACTGACAGGTATTGGGCTAACGGAGACGAGCTGAAGTTAGGAATTCAGACAGGGTGCTTTTTGGTATACGGGTTAGGCCAATAATGTGAGTTTGTTCAAGTTGGCTACCCCTAGTCTCCAATGACCATCTCCAACTTAAAAAATATTGCCACTAGTGTAGACCCAAATCTTATCTTGCCACTGCCATTTGGAGTTTTGGACCTTCTGGTATGAGAAAAAGCTGCTTCATTCTATAAACGTAGATTTCTATAACTATAGCAAAGCATATCCCTTGTTCTCTCTTATTCTACCATGAGAGAACTGTCGGGCCTGTTGTGCCACACAAAATAAACTACTTCCCAAGACCTTGAATGGTAGAGAGAAACTAAAATACGCTCTTCATCTTCCTGTTATAACCCCTTTACATTCCTTCTTTCCCACACATGGTGATATTCATAAAATTAATATTGACCTCCCTCCTTTAACACTATATATCTTGGCTTCGATATCCAAATTTTGACACCTCCAATGGTAGCTAAATAATAAAATGACAATCTAAATGAAGAACAATCGTATTCAAAGGATGTTTATGCAAATCGACAAGGTTCTTGATCAAGTATTTCGTCACCAGTGAGGCACTCCACCACTTAAGAACTTGTCTGTTAGAAGTTGCAATAGGATACCATTCTAAGATCTTCCCAGTCTAGTGCCACCCGAAGCTAGTAATATTTGCAACCAAGAAAAGACAACAAAACATGGCAATCAACATTCTATTGACCTAATAAAGAGACTCAAACAATATAAGTACTCGTATCAATAACAATGAAGGCATGAGTAAAAGAAGCTCCGAAATTCAATCAAAACCCAATATCAAACAATCTATTCACGAACTAAATGGGCAAATTTATTCAATATTTGAAACAAATTTAAAAAAAAATCAAATAAACTAACCAAATCAAAACCCAATATCAAACAATCTATTCATGAACTAAATGGGCAAATTTATTCAATATTTGAAACAAATTTTTAAAAAAAAAATCAAATAAACTAACCAATTCAAAAAAAAATTGCTTAGACTCTTTGTTTGAGCGACCATTTTCTAGCATCATCCATCGTCCAAGTAATGTACTCCTGACATAGTAAAGGTAGCGTATTGTAGCACCTTTATATGATGGTGGTAAAATGTCAGGCAACGTAGCTCGCACTACATCTGTAAATGAAATCATGCAACACAAATTGTTAATCTCCTTAATCCAAATAATAGAATAAGAAACATATAATAACATAGTAAATTTAAGATGACCTCTCTCATACAGAGGAAATCAGAAATAAAAATATAGTGCAAATTATTCCATCAGTCAGATTAGCATCCTCGTATGAATTTTGACTTCTCTATCATCATCATTCTGTACCACCAAATATTGCAAAGGACTGTTGATCATTGATAACGAATAATCACCTATCATCAAGAGGTTTGAGTCATTTCAAATCCAAGTGTAATTCCTATGGAAAATGGTGATATCCACCATTTTCTTTTGATTAAAAAGGATAAGATATATATATATATATAACAGCACAGTGGTGACCCATTTGTTCTTCGCTAATGATATTTTAATTTTTTGTAAACCTGATTTGAAGAATCTCCTACACTTGAGGTGCATCCTTCTCTGTTTTTAAACGGTTTTGGGACTCAAAATAAACCTCAACAAATCTGAATTAATGATGAGGAAACCCTTCCAGCAGTGTATAAAATGGGAAGTTGGTAGAGGCAACATAATTAATTTTTGGGAGGATGACTGGGTTAGTAATGAGTGTCTTAGGAGGAGATTCCCGAGAATTTATAATATTGCCAAATCGATTAGGATGACAGTGGGGGAGGCTTATAGGGTCATAAATAGAAATATTGTCTAGTGCATTAATGTAAAGCGGAATTTAAATGATTAGGAGATTAAAGAATTCGAAGACCTACTGAAGTGTCTTGATGCACAGCAAATTTCTGACAGGGCTGATCAGGTTGTTTAGAATCTGGAAAAGGATGGAAAATTTCTGTTTCTTCTTATTACAAATATCTAAGTGACAAGGGAGTTGATAACAGATTGGAATTTAAAGCAAAGCTCATCTGGAAGACAAAAATTCCTGCAAGAATTGCTTTCTTTGCATGGGAGGCGTGCGAAATCTGGACAGATGGGCAAGATCATTGTTAACAGATGCTACTGCTGTCTAAAGGTTAAGGAGACGTGTAACCATCTACTTTTGTGGTGTCCTACTGTTTATAGCTTATGGTGTAAGATCTATGGTTAATTAGGAATTAATTGGGTTATCTCGGATCCGGTCGGGAAGGAGATTTGGGCTTGGGATGGTTTCTATGTAAAAAGAAATATGACAAACATTATTCCTTTGACTATTGTTTGGATCATTTGGAAAGAGAAGAATAGGAGAGTTTTTGATAGTATTGAGAGTAGTACTAATAGACTAATAAATAGACTGATACATTTATTTGAGTCGATTATGCTAAGTCATGATATCATTAGTGATGTGAATTTTGGGGATGTCATTGACACTTTAACATCTATGTAAATACTTTTGTACACGGGTGGCACCCCTGTTTCTTTGGTACCATGTTAATATATATTTCACACTTTTTATATAAAAAAAAATAGATAAACATGGCAACAACTGTCAACTATGTAAAGGAGCTTTACAAGTCGGGCAAAGTATCAATTAGGTCTTCTAAACCCTCATTATGGAAAAAAAAAGAATAACCTTTAAACAAAAAATAAAAGTCTAGAACCAAGAATCCCTAACTCTAGTTAATGGAAAAGCTAATCCCTCAAAAACTATTCCTTTTCTTCCAAATGACTCATATGGTAGCTAGAGGGATAAGAGATGAGCTTTCTCTTCTGCTCATCAACTTGGATGTCATACCACGCCCAAATCTCTTTAGCCAGAGAGCCTGACATAATCTGACTCAAGTGAAGGAACTTGAGAGTACCTAATACACACTCTTCGATCTTTCAAAAATCAACCAAACTTATATTATTTCTTTTCAATCTTTCAAAAATCAAGTACAAAATCTCTCGCCGAAAGTTGAACAAGAGTACCTGCAGCATCATTGAGATCTTTCAAAAATCGCCACTAACAGTAGGCTTCTGAACCTTCATTGAGGGATAGCTTTTGTGATTCACTTAAATGCCCAATGAGAAGCAAGAACCTCCTTCCCCTATTCAACCACAAGCTTCATGCCCCTAAACCACAAGCTTTAGGGTCAAATCTTCCAACTCAATTCTCCAAAGATAATAGTGGATTGAGTGCCTCTACCATTCGTAGACACTCTCCTTTGAGTCAGCTGATCCACCTTAAGAGCAATGTCACAAGACTTGGACTCTGTGATCAAATATTTCTTAGAAAGAGAGGTTAACATGAGAGTTGGAGGAAAGGAAGACCAAAAGGGCTTAAACTAGAAGAAAGACAAGTGAAAGTTTCTAAGGAGAAAGACATAGCCTCTCATGAATTATTTTTTTCCCACAAAACAAGATATAGAAAACCTAGAAATCACTAAGAAAGAAAAAAGCAAAGAACAAACTAAGGGAAACAGCAAAACATAACTGTAAATAGATAAGTAAATCACTATAATCATGGAATTAAATATTGTAAGTGTTGATGGAAAAGCATCAGACACATAAGAGCTACCAAAACAAATATTGAATATCAAAATGTGAAGAAATTGGTAGCATCACCAATTAATTCACTATACTATGGAAAAATCCGAACAAATTCAACTTCCATTCTATTTTTATTCTTCTTCAAAGTATTTTGCAATCTATGATCTTTAAGACACTATGCAACCCGCCATTACCTCCATAACTGAGGCTTTTTTACATTGACCAAGGATCAAGATACTTCAATAATGAGTTAGAGATTGATGTTGTTAGATTGTAGTTTAGAATATTTAGTTGAAGTAGAACCTTAGCGATTTAAGAGGTTGATGACTTTCTATCCTAACTCACTCTCTCAGTTAGGTGCAAAGTGAATTCATCCCACAAAAGCATTTATGTCTTATATCTAACAAAGGTAGGTGTTTTTTCAGCAAAGCCCTCCGACAAATTATGATTATCCAAGCGTGATGTTGTCTTTACATTCATTTAGAAACAAATATTATAGAGTAAGTCATTCTCCTAACAACTTTAAATTCTCAAGAAGATACTTTTGAGAAGAAGGCTAACAATGAACAACTTGAGAAAGGGAGAAATGAATCTTCCAATCATATCCTCCTTTAGTTTGTGGAGGATAGAAAGTTGTGAGATTAGCTCTCAACCTCTTTTATTTTATCCCCTGTATTATTTGTAAAATTGGCAAATGAGTTATGGGCATAGAATTAGTTTCCAATTTGGCAAAGCTAGTAAGAAGTCTATTCCCTTATTATGTTGGTTAGTTCTTAAGGTCGTACGAAAAGAAATAAATAGAACCTTGAATATTTTGTTGAAAATGTCAACCTCTCCTTGACAAAGAGAATTTTGGAAACCCTACCAATATTTTGTCTCTCATATAAATCCCTTTCGTTTTGTATATGGGTCACACCCGTCAGTACCCTGCTAATGAAATTATATCTTTAAAAAACTATTGAAATAAACTATAGATCACCAAATATGATAAACATTCACAATTCGAATAGATTACTACTT